GGGGTCGTTCACAGGTTGCTCTCGTGGTTCTCCTCCGTCTCCACAGCCATGGGGGGCAGCCCTCCGTTGTCGTTCAGCCGCTTGGCCCTGTAGGTCTCGTAGTGGATGTTGTGGGTCACTTCTTTTAGGTCCTGGAGATGAGTCCTGCAGGGGGCAGAGCGAAGGTGGGGGTGGGGAGATACCAGCAGTATCCCTGCAGTCAGTCACAGAATCAATCACAGAGTGTCAGGGGTTGAAGGGACCTCCAGAGACCATCAAGTCCAACCCCCGGCCAGAGCAGGACCATCCAGCCTAGGGCAGGTCACACAGGAACACATCCAGAAGGGTCTGAAAAGTCTCCAAGGTAGGAGACTCCACAGCCATCCTGGGGAGCCTGTCCCAGTGCTCTGGAACCCTCACAATAAAGAAGTTCTTCCTCACATTGAGGTGGAACTTCCTGTGCTGCGGCTTGTGACCATTGCCCCGTGTCCTGTCACAGGGCATAAGTGAGAAGAGGTTGATTGTCCCTTCCTTCCTGACACTCAGCCCTCATCTATTTATACACATTAATTAGATCCCCCCTGAGTCTTCTCCAGCCTGAAAAGCCCCAGGTCTCTCAGCCTCTCCTCGTGAGGCTGGTGTCCCAGTGCCCCTTGTAGCTGGACTCTCTCCAGTAGGTCTCTGAGATAACTGTGACTCTGTTGTAGGCTCAACGACAGGGTGCAGGCCATGGGCTGGAATCCCTGGCTGTGCTTGCCAGTGCCCTGTGCCCCTCACCCCTGTGCCAGGGGGACAGCCAGTGCCCATCCTGGTGTGGCAGAGCAGACGTGGGCTTATTTCACCTCAAGTGCTGGTGACACAAAGGAAGGAAGCACCAAGAGGGTGTCTCCTGTCTGCTGCAGACCACAACCTGCACAACACTGCTGCTGCTTTTCTCTGCAAAGTGTGTTTCCCTTGTTTTCTTTTATTTTTGGTGTTGATTTAGAACCTTATGGTATTTACAGAGCCCAGGGGTGACCCTGGCTCTGCAGCTCTTCCACAGAATGGGAGGCAGGGATCCCTTGTGCTGAGGCAGCCTCATGAAACAGGCTGAGAATGAGGCAGGGCAATGAAAGCTGGATGAAATATGGAGCTTTTCACTCCCAGGTCTTATGTTCCAGCACATTCCTCCACCCAGCAGGACACATGGTCTAGGACATAGTGTCTCTTCACTGTTTTTTTCACTGCCTCCAGCCCCAGACCTGTTGTCAACAACAAATAGAAGTTGTTGCAACCTAATATCCTCAGTGGGCTGTAAGGGGGGGGGTTGGTACCCTGTTTTTTCCCAGGTTTCCAGCTCCTACATGCAGACCAGCTCCTCCTTGGCATGGTGGCCATGTCTCTAGGAGAGCCCCTAGTCTGTCCCCCCTTTAACCCAATCCAACCCTATCCCACGTAAGCTTTCACTTCCTGAAATGTGCTTTATCTTCCTTTCCACAGGGGCTGTTTCACTGTCAGGGAGTCCCAGGAAGGCTCCCTGCTCCTTGAGAGCACACTGGTGCCTGACCACAGCCTCACCTGATGACAAAATCTCGAAGCAGGGCAAATTCACAGTGAGTGAGGTTTTCCACTGAAAAAACAAACAAACAAACAAAAAGCAAGCAATTGTTATGTTTGATTCTTTTTCAGCATCTCCTTTGTGGTGAGAGGACGTGGGGCAGGTGACAGCTGGGTAGAGCCTGTGTCCTTCAGGAGGGACAGAGAGGTGGACAGCTCAGGGACAGCCCCTGAGGGGGTGTGCTGAGGGGGAAGCCAAGGCAGGCTCAGGAGCTCAGCTTCATGCACCGTGGGTGTTGAGAAAGGCTCCAGCTTCTGCCTGCAGGTGGAGGTGCTGCCACATTGCCCAGGCAGTGCCCTCCCAGCAGAGCTACTGGAGAATTCTCCTCCTGCTGAGCTTCAAAGGGCTGGGAAGGCAGCCACGGGAGTGTTCTCTGGACCCTCCCCCGTTACTGGGGCCTGCAGAGAGACTTTCAGCTCCCAGAAGCAAAGGGCTTTTTACCTTCGATGATCCCCCAAGGCGTTTTCCTGCCCAGGACTCTCTTCCCATTCACCTGGTACTCCTTGTCGCTGCCCACCACTGCGAAGGGCATGCTGTCCTGCTGGGGAGACACACAGGGACCTGCTGGACCCACCCCAGGGAGCAGCACCCTCCCTGCTCCCCTCCCACCTCTGCTCCCCTCGGCTCACTCAGCACAAAGCCTTCTGCAGGAAAAGAGGGTCTCCAGAGCAACGCTTCACTGGTGGAGAGGTGTCCTCTCCACCTCTCAATGCCATCCCTGGCATTTTGGGCCCTTGCTTTACAGGTGGCCTTGCACCCACAAGCTCAGGGGGTAGCCTGCAGCAGTGCCAAGGGCTCTGGAGTTGGGGGCAGAGCTTCTCTGCACCCATTTTTCAGCATTTCTGAAGAGGGGGGTGACCAGAGATCTGGTGTAGTCAGGAGAGGGTCTGTCAGCCCGGGGTTGCTCATACAGATAGTTTGTGGTGAGTATTTTTCACCAAGTTTGTAGTTGTTCACCAGAAGGAGGAGGACTCAAAATCTATCCTCCCTGAAAAGACACAGGAGCATTCAACATGTTCAGTTCTGAAGTGGTTGTACTGAGGAAGGCCAGAAATGGGGTAGGGGTCCAGATTTCCTGGGAAGTGGCAAAGTGAGGCTAGTGGAGACCCAGAGATCTGTAAGGACAGGGAGAAACCATCAATTTTGCAGAGCACAGGGTGCAGGAGACCCTGCTATCCATCCATAAGGTTCTGCAGATGTTCATAGACCTCCTCTGCTTTGTAGATGTCCCTGGGCCTGGGAAGGGATTGCAAATACCACAGGAATGGAGATTAAAAACTGGGTTATCTGTTATGTGTCAGACTATCCAAACCTGGGGCAACGATGCTCCAGTGCAGAAGAAAGCGTGGGACCCTCCTCAAAGCCAGGAATGGGCTGGAGAAGAGGCAAACCCAGCTAGTCCCCTCCAGCATGGGTGGTGCATTGCCAAATGGGGAAGGATTAATTAAGATGGGGAGGGTGGGAATTGCTGTGGGGGTGTGACAGCCTGAGGGAGTGGAAAGGACAAGTGTCAGTCTGCAGTGCAAGACTCCTGGAGTTTCCTGAGGACTGCCAAGGAGGCAAATCTGTTCTCATTAATGGCCTAGACACAAAGATGATGAGGGGGGTGATTAAGTGCAGTAGCATCACAAGGACAAGAGGTGTTGCCAGCACAAAGGCAGACTGGGTTATTATCCAGGAAGAAGTAAATCTGAGGCACAAAGAGCAGCATTTAGGGAACAGCATCAAGAATTTCTGCTGTGACTTCAGAGCTGATGAAGAAGCAGCAGCAGAAGGAGTGGAAGGACCTGTGCTAGTTAGTCACCATCTCACCAACAGCCACCCGTGGGATGGAGCTGTTTCTGAAGCACATGTGGTCCCTGGGCTGGGCAGTTCAGGTCTCAGGAGAGACAGAGGAGCATGGGGTACCAGCACCAGTGCTGTGAAATCCAGTGAAACTGGAGCAGGCACAGAAAGAAGTGGCTAGAAGCATGAACTACTGAGGAATGGGAAGCTCATCCAAGGGAGCTTGTCTCCTTTAGCTAGAGAGTCAGCAAAGGATAATATTGTTCTCTATAAATGCCTGGAGTGGTGGAGGGAACCACTAGGGAGGAGAACTGCTTGAGACAGTTCATGGCACAAGAACACATAGATAATGCTGGGTACAACCTGGCCTTGAACAAACACAGGCTGGAAATGAGGAGATAGTTCCTGATGCTCTGAGGAGAGGAGGATGGGACAAGCCTTCTCCCAGAGGCTAGGAGAGCAAGGAACTGGACTTCTTCTTAGGCTGAGTTTGCTCAGCAGATGAGAGGGCTCATAGTTTGGGACAGAGGCTGGACATCAGCCACACACCAGGCCCCTTTGGCCCTTAGTGCTGGCCAGACAGAGCATCCAGCAAGGGGAGGTGGAGCATAGTCCCCCCTCACTCAGCCTCCACAGCACCCTGTAGCACTGACAGGGACAAACTGAGCTGGGGAGGAGGAGTGACCATCCCTCACATGCATTACACCTTTCACCCAGGGACTGTGAAGCAATTAAAACCTCCTAGTGACTCATGTCTGCTTTACACTCACTAATACATGGCCAGCCTTCATCCCCCCTTCCCTGCCCTTCCCACAATCAAATATTTCCTACCCTGATTTTGTCATTCTCTGTTTTATCCTCCAGGTCTTCATCAAATTCCTTCTGGGGGTAAAACTCGATCCCGTTTACTTCCAGCTCTTTGCGCACCTGGCCAGAGAGACATTTTGGAGCACAAGGCAGCACAAACCTGAAGGGAAGGCAGGTGGGACAGTCTGGCAAACACCTCTGTGATGCCCTTCCAGCGGGCAGGGGCTGGAGGTGGGCAGGGGCTCCCCACCCCCCAGGAGGTGTGCAGCAAAATGAGGGCACACAGCAGCGACGAGGAGTCTTCCTTCCCCAGCCCGCTGCTTGTCCTGCTCTGCAGTGGCAGATCCTGCCGTGTCCCAGGGATACAGATGTTTCTCCCTCCTCTAACAGATGCCCTCAGAGCCATGAACATCTTCAGGATTTACCCACCAGCCCAGCACTGGGCTCTGTGCACGCCCTGGGGGCTGCGCTGCACTCCCAGGCAGAAGGACACCCCTCCCTTCTCCCACCCCCAGGCTGGGGCAGGGAAGGGTCCTATGCAGCAGAGGAGATGCTCACCCTTTGTTTGAATTCGGTCTTCTCCTCCAAGGTCATGGTGTCAGCCTTGGCAATGACTGGGATGATGTTCACTACCTTGCTGAGGTGCTTCATGAACTCCAGGTCCAAGGGGCGCAGGCTGCAGCCCAAGAGGGAACAACAGGGAAGGGATCAGGGAAGGGATCACTGCACCCTCCTTGCCTTTCACCCTAGTGACCCTCCCAGCATCAGGCCACCAATGAAACCTCCCTTGTGCACACCCTGCTCCCTTCCACGGTGCTCTCATCTCCTTCTTCCCATCCATCCCACAAAAACCCAGTGGCATTTCTCCTGCCCTAGACCCTTTCAAGCCCCGCAGCACCCCAAGTTAAGCAAAAGAGCTGCCAGCCCCCCAGGCAGGACCCCCGGGTCTGTAGCTGGGGTGGAGCAGAGCAGAGCCGGCACAGAGGCACCCAGAGCTTGGGGAGGGATGAGGGGTCGTGTACATACGAGTGGCCCGTGGGGGAGATGAAGTAGAGGCAGCAGTGCACTCGTGTGTCTGGGATCCGTTTCTTCCTTGCAATATTCACCTCCTCTTTCAAAAATTTCTCATATTGCTCGTTGATGTATTTCTCAATAGGCTCCCAGCTGTTAAGGTGGGAGAGAGAGGTGAATAGACAGCCACAGATCTCCTCGTGTTCCTGCCTACAGTGTTCTGGCTCTGAGAGCAGCAAAGCAGGCTTGGGCAGAAACAATACCCACCACAAGCACCTCAGCAGCAGCAGAGGTACTGAAGAGTTCCTGTAGCTGGGCACAGAAAGGGGCACTGGCTATGGAATGTGTGTGTGCCCCCAGCACACACCCAGCACAGCTCCACAGCCCCCTGACCAGCCCCCTGAGTGCAGTGAGATCCCACGTGCTTCCCAGGCCAGGGGGGGATGAGAGCTGCTCCATGCATCATCTTCACTCCAGCCCCTTCTGGGACACGAGGCCTTGGCCACCTAAAACTCACCAGTTCTCATTGTTGATCTGGTCCCCAAATCCTGGTGTGTCGATCACAGTCAGCTTCATTTTGACACCACCTTCTTCAATCACTGGGGAAGAGATTGCAAACAATGATATACCTCCCTGGGGACCTATTTGATCGTGAAGCAGCTCTCTGTGCCCTGCAAGGGAACCAGAGTGCTCTGCCCTCATCCCTGCTCCGTGAGCATGACCACGCCAGGCTGGGATGTGCTGTGGTAGTTGTGACCCCTACTTCCATTTCTGACCCTAAATTTTGGTAACCTCTGCACCAAAGCCACCTTGTAACCACTCTGTCACAGGAAAATGGATTTGTGCTCAGTCTGTGGCCCAAAGGTGTCCCCAACTTGTCCTCCCCTCCCATGCATCACCTTGAATCTGAGGTGATGCTCATGACTGCACCACGGTGGATGAGGTGGCACCACTGTGCTGATGCTCTGCCATGGGATGTGCTCTCCAGGCTTGGCGTGGGACACACTAATCCAATTCACAGAGATTATTAAGTGTCTGCAGGTCAGAAAGACTCAAGGTTTAATCCACACATGCAGACCAGTGTCTTTGCAGAAGAAGAATCTCTAACTCTTCCTGCCCCTCACGTCTGGCTGTGGCACCAGTGGCACTGCTGTTTAAGAAAAGCTTTGGCTGGGTCTGAGGCCTCCTAAAACTGGCACTTCTCCTTTAGCTTCCCATGGAGAAAGGGCTGCCTAATACCAAAGAACTGTTTGCATTGACTGCTGGGATCTTCTGCAGGACTGTGCTGAAGTGCCAGTGTTGCCTCTGGTCCAGCCTGCTCTTACCATGCCCGATGGCTTTGATCTCCACTGTCTTGGGGATCTTCTCCTCCCGGTTCCAGCCTGAAGATTTACGGCTCACCTGGGATTTGAAGAGAGTGTTCACCAACGTCGACTTTCCCAGTCCACTCTGACCTGAGGATTGCAAAGAGAAAGCTCGTGACATCTGCCAGAGCCTGGTGATGACAGCAGGCCCAGGGGCTGGAGACAAGCTGGCTGGGGAAGGGGCTGGAGCTGCCCCCTCGCCTCGTGCAGGCTCTTCTGGCCTGCAGAACAAGCCCTGGCTGCTCCCTCGTGCCCTCCCTGCAGGGTTTGCTCTCCCTGTCTCCTCACAGGACAGTCCCTGGCCATGGTTCCCAGCCCCTCAGCTGGTCCCAGCCTACCTACAACCATGATGTTGAAGTCAAAACCTGTCTTCATGGTTTTCTTGCGCATCTGCTCGATGATGGTGTCGATGCCGATGTAGCCCAGCAGGTTGGTGTTGATGCCCGTGGGTTTCATTGGGACCACTGGTTTTTGTCGTGGCTCTGGGACCAGCTCAGACATGGCTGCTTCGTTTCTGCTCTCCACTGGCCCTGCGTGGGGAGAAAGATTGAGAAATCCTCACTGAGGGGCAATGGGGAGCTCCCTGCAGACCTGCCACAGGGTCTGAGGGCAACTCTGAGCACCCCTTCTGAGGGCTCCTGAGGATCACCGAATGGCAGAAGTTTAGCAGTGAGGTTTTCCATGGATGAACATAGAATCATAGAATCCTTTAGGTTGGAAGGGACCTCCAAGATCATCAAGTCAAACCATTGAGCCATTAGGGCTCTAAAGTCCTCTACTAAAACAGATCAGAATCTGTCAGGGTTGGAAGGGACCACGAGGATCCCCCAGTTCCAACCCCTCTGCCATGAGCAGGGACACCTCCCACTAGACCAGGCTGCCCAGAGCCTCCTCCAGCCTGGCCTTAAAGACCCCCAGGGATGGAGCCTCAACCACCTCCCTGGGCAACCCATCCCAGGGTCTCACCACTCTCATGGTGAAGAACATCTACTGGAGCTTCCAGCACACTCTTCCAGAGGAGGAGGTGGAGGAGTGCAGTTCGTTGAGCCTGCAGCATATTGATGGTTGCCTCCAAACAGCAGGACCAGCCCCAGTGCAGCTGCCTGGGCTCCTGGTCAGGTGCCCACATCTCTGTGTGTGTCCTTGGCTTTGTCTCCCAGTTCTCACCAGGATCACCAGTTCAGCATGAGATTTGCAATAAAACAGGCTTTCAAAAATGATCGTGTGTCAAGTCCTGGCACTGAAGCAGAGCTTGGGGTTTGCCAGGAGAACTTTGGAGCCTGGCCCTTGACAGGGGTGGCTGTGTTGCTGGCTGTGCCCTGCAGGATGAGTTCCTCAGAGGAAGGCAGTGGTAGAAGTGCAAAGCATGGCCACAGCCTCTGTGCTTGCAGATTGATGGGTTCTGTCACGCTCAAGAAACTAATTATCTACCAGTGATAACGATCAATAAACTAATGAGCTGCACCATTCCCTCCTCACCTCCTGCTCCTCACTTCTTCATGTAAAACAAAGCACAAAGAAAGACCCTGTGGATATTCTGCCCCCTCTGACTCTGCCTGGGGCATCCCTCCTCTGTTTGTCTCCATCTCCTGTCTCATTAGTGAGCAGCTCTCACCCACTGGGAGGAAGCCAGAGGCTGGGAGACACAGGGCAGGGAATTAGAGCTGGAACTGGTGGGGAAGGAGGGTGTGAGGGATGGATCTGCAAAGGAAGATGATGGGGATGAGAATCGAATGCCTTTGGCACACAAACTAGCTGCAGACTGAAGTCTTCCCCACCCTGCTGACACGACTGCCCCGTGCGCTGTCTGATTAGATGGCTGCTCCTCCAGCAGAGGGACAGCGTGTGTTTGCTTGGTGAGCACTCTGCTCATTTTGGATGCCACTTCAGTTCCAGTGTCTCACACTGGATGATCCCTTTCCATCCTTTCTGCTGGAGTTTGTCACCCCTCTCGTCAGGACCTAGCTGCAGAGGAGGATGTGGGCAGCCAGGCAGGCCACTGCCATGGGGGGGTGACACGTGTCTCTTGACACCAGGCTGGTGTCACTGAGCTCCTCTGCAGACACGAGGGCTGCTCAAAATGTCACATTTTATATAAGATTTAATCCAGCACCGTTGTGTGCTGAGGGCAGGCCCCATGGAATGCCCAGCTGTGGCAGGGAGGAAGATGCTTCCACCCAGCTCCTGTACTACACCACTTGGGAAGACTTTCACGTTGAAGTGGGAGAGGGGATCTTCCCTCCACGTGAGAGGATGGCAGCACAGCCACCCGTGCACAGCATGTGGGTGATGTCTGAGGGTTCTCATGACACCTCCGTTCCACCTTGCCTGCAGAGGAGGGGTCTGCAGGAGGATGGACCCAATTCTGCTCTTCCCTGCTGGCTGAGGTGGCTCTGAGCTGTCACCATCCTCTGCTGAAGCAGTGAGCAGCACCTTGGGGGACCAGAGCACAGGGGGGACGACTGGCTTGAGCCAGGCTGGTGATTTTGAGCACCTCATGCTGCCAAGCTGAGCGCTCCCGTGCCACAGCCAGTCTGGGCCCTTCCCGCTGCCAGAGCATCCCCTGGGGCTCCTTTTGTCTTCTCCCAGCTTTCTCAGAGCTGCTGCCACCCAGGGAAGCCCATCTCTCTGGCACAGAGCCAGCTCCTCTGCACCCTGCCCTTTGCTTGGCTCCACCCCGGGCTGCCCCACACCACCCATGCCATGGCCATGGCCACATGCCCGTGCCGTGCCCCTCATCCTGCTGCAGCACCCTCCAGTGCCCACCCCACACAGCCCTGAGGGTCCCACCTGCCTCAGAGTGAGGGGGAAGAGAGGGTGAGGCAGGGAGTGATGAGGGGATGTGGGGCTGGGGGCTGTGGCCCCCCTGAGGCACTTGGCTTCTGTAGCAATGGGGACAACTAAAACCTGGAGGTGGGCAGGGAATAGGTCAAGGTGGGAGGAAGGTCCAGCTGAGCAGCTGCGTGGGATGGATGCAGGATCTGGGCCATGCAGGCTGTGACCCCTCTTCTGCCTGGGCAGTAGCTTGTCCTCAGACAAGGGCTCTCCTTCCTTCCTTCCTTCAACTCCTTGTTCTTAAGGAGGGGAGGGAGGGAAGTTGCTGGCAGCCAACCTCAAGGCTCATGAAGAGCTTCATAACTCATCCCTCAATCTCACCAAGGGACACTTTGTCCAGAGCCAGCAGATGTTGCTAACTCTGTTGTGGACATCACCATACGTGGATATTCTTTTGCAGGCCAGGAGCTTGCAGTGGCTAGAGCATATTTCAGAGTTGGGTTCCAGAGCACCTGAGCCCAGGAGAGAAGACCTCCAGGATTATCCTTCAGATTTCCTGGATTTTATATTACTAATGCCACCCTGGGCTATTTGATTTTGGACATTCAAGATCTCTGAACTTCCTTTTCTCCTCCCAGTCACTTGCCCTCCTCTCTGTGTGGGGTTCCTTTCCATACAGTCCCAGGGAGGGCAGCCCCCATTTCCCAAAGAGGCACCCAAGGGCTCAGCTTTCTCCACACACTTTTCCACCTCTTGACTCCCAGGGAGGAATCCAAAGAGCCAGCTGAGGCACAGCCTGCCGAGGAGCTCAGGGTGTGCAAAACCAGGGCTGGAGCTGCGAGAGGCCCCCGGCTCTCCAGGGAACAGCTCTGCAGCAGTGCTGGTGCTTCTAGGAAGCCTCAGGAGCACCCTGAGGGTCTGGTCAAGGGGAAGCTTTATGCATCCTCAGCACACCCCGCAGCCCCCCCCAGCTGCCCCCCGGGGTGAATACATGACAGGGCACGGGCAGTGCAGCCCAGAATGGGTGGAGGGTGAGCTGAGGTTAACTGTCTGCATCCGCTGTTCGTGCTGCCACCCTTCTCCCTGCTGCTTTGTTCTCTGTGCTGAGCAAAGCTCGTTTAAGAGGGAGGTTGCTGGCGATGCCTCTGCTGCCCGGCTCCTGGTGGGAGGTGGCCTGGGCCAAGCTGCCAAGGGATAATCTCTGGCTTGCAGGGGATGCTCCACTTGGCTCTGGAGCAGGGAGAGGTGCAGCAGCTGGGGCTGGGGCAGGCAGAGCCAGAAGGGCAACGCGTGCCTGGGGAGGTCCCAGTGGCCCCAGAGAGCTCCTGCTTCTGACACCCACCCATCCACCCCAAAACCTCTCCCTGGAAGGCTAAACATACGTGGCCAGCAGCAGACACCACCACTGCAGCACACCCTTCATGGCCTCCTGCCTCTGACATTCATGGCAGCTACCTGGAGACCGTGGTGACCCTGAAGGTCCCTCAGGGGCTCAGGTAGTGGGGACTAACATCTACTCTGCCCCCATAACCCAGATACAGCTGCATCCCCTCCCTCGGCCTTCCATCCTTTGTCTGAGGGGCAAGAGGAGGGGAGGGCTGCAGACAGTTGGTCACCACAGCCCAGCTTCCAGCAAGCTGTGGCTGTGTCACCCCCGTGACACACGGGTGGCCCCGTGCAGCCTGGGGCTGTCCTGCCCTGGCTGGGGGCAGCGATCCACACAAAGGTCTCACCCCAGCCCCTTCCACCCTCCTGGCCCCGGAGCCACAGCCCCACTCCCTGCAGACCTGGAGTGCGGAGTAGGGATGGGCTCAGAGCCCCATGGTGGCTGGCAGGAGCAGGCCCTCAGCGGGTGATGCCAGGTCCCCAGGAAGGAAAGCAAGCGGCTGCTTTGGTAGTGCAGCCTCTCTGGGGCTGGCAGGCTGTAGGATCTGCTCCTGGCTTCAGACTGACAGAGGTGATGGACCAAACATCTCTCTCCTGGAAGAATCCTTCCCCCCGCTCAGTTTCTGTGACAACCCTGAGGCATTTCTCCCAGCTGGGCAGGGCGAAGGCCGAGCCCTGCTGGAGGCACTGCCCGACCTCGGCGTGCAGAACAGAGCCATCCTTCTTACCACACGTCCTTTAGCCTGGCCTGGGGATCACCAGGCATTCTGAGTGAGGCAGGGGAGCTCATCTCAGCCCTTCGGGCTGCTGCAGCCTTCCTGGCAGCGACCTTCCTTCCCCTCAGTGCTCTGCAGAGGGCTTGGGCATAGCTGGGCACACGGTGAAATCTAGGACATCGTGTGCCTCTGGAGGAGCAGGACCTGGCAGTGGAGGGGCTGAGCATGTCCCCAGCCCAGCCGTACCCTCGGGGTCCCTCCCTGGCCGTGCAGCCCTTACCCCATCCCCCAGCTCGCCGCCTGGGCAGCGCGGCTGCATCGCAGGGCGAGAGGATGCTGAGCTCCCCCGGAGTGGTGCCACAGCAGCTGCCTGTCCCTCTGCCTGCCCACCCGCTGGCTGCTGCCC